AACAATATTTAAGCATGAATACATGTATAAGTCAAAACATTACTTATAACAAAGGATCAAGATCAACATGTATAAATCATAACAATATTTAAGCATGAATACATGTATAAGTCAAAACATTACTTATAACAAAGGATCAAGATCAACATGCATAAATCATAACAATATTTAAGCATGGATACATGTATAAATCAAAACATTACTTATAACAAAGGATCAAGATCAACATGTATAAATCATAACTATATTTAAGCATGGATACATGTATAAGTCAAAACATTACTTATAATAACAAAGGATCAAGATCAACATGCATAAATCATAACAATATTTAAGCATGGAACATGTATAAGTCAAAACATTGCTTATCATGGAAGGATCAAGATCACCATGCATAAATCATAATAATATTTAAGTATGAAACATGTATAAGTCAAAACATTACTTGTCACGGATACTAATCAAGGAGAGGTAACATGTATAAGTCAAAGCATTACTTATCATGGATACAAATCAAGTAGAGGTAACTACCATGATAACTTGAACATGTGTGGGACATGTGTGAAAACAATCATGTGATTTATGGTGAATCATGTTAGACAAGTAGGTAACAACCAAACATGCAAAAAGGATTCAATCAAGGATTGGTAAAAGATGAGAAACATCTCAAAGGTAAATCATGCATACTTGAACATGTTTCAAAGTTACACAACAAGTGTTTGAGAACACTCAAGGTAAGGTAACAACCAAGGTTTTATGATATGCATTCAAACATACATTCATATGTAAAATCAACTTGAAAAAGGTAACAACCATCATGTAACAACAAGAATGGGAAAATTTACACATCAAATGAGGTTCATACAAGTAAGGTGTGGGTTAATGCAAACAATATGTGCAAGGAGAATCAAGATAATCAATCAAAAGAAATCTCATAAAACCCTAAAAAAAACATCATACTTTGAATTCACACAAATGGAAGGAAAATAATTCTTTTTGGAAATTTCTTGATACAAATTAAAAATATGCATTATCATGGTCAAAATGCAAAAAGAATGGGATCAAAATGATAAAAAAAATTAAAGAAGTTATGATTAAATCAAATTGCAGAGGAAAGCATGAAAATTAGTGATAAAAAAGTAAGGAAATGCACTCGAAGGGATTTAAACCCACTCACTCAAGCTTACAGGTCAAAACATTACCCATCCAGCCAATGCGGACTTTGTGGATCAAATGGAAAAAGCACAATATATGTTAAACATCATTTCAATCAGGAAAATAAGCAAAAGGGTTGATCCGCTGGATCTAACCCAATTCTAGCAAGGCAAAGGGTACAAGAAAGCGCATGGTAAACCACTGAGGTGGTAATACATTCATTGTATCACCCTCATAAATTAATTAAAGTACCTAAAGATGGCCTAATTCCTAACTTCATGCACCATGGTTTTTGGGCAAGAACACCAAAAAAACTAAGTTGCAAGAGGGTCTCTAACTCTATCATTTCTCCATGAAATTGAATGAAACAAAAATCAAACTTGTGTATTTTTTAACAAGGAACACAATGGTGCAATTGCTTTTGTCAAAAAATCAGAGCACACCAGAGCATACCAAATCATTACCATCACCATAGGTAACGCTTCACCAATTCCTATATGGAAGCAGTTACTCGCTCTTGAGTCCTCATCATCAGACCCGAGAACACCAAAATTCGTTTTTATCACCATTGGAAACGCTTCACTAATTCCTCATTGGAATCAGCTACTCGCTCCTGAATCCATACAGTCGGACCAGAGCACACCGAAAACTGAACTAAAGCCCATATACCATGATGCATGATTCACCATAACATACGATCTCACCAAAATTGATCACCATGAATGTAACACCAATAATACACACCATATGCTCCATACAACACGAGTGATTCAATTCAATAATAACATAATAAAAACATTATGCATTTCCAAACAACGGCTAAACAGTAGTCACACTACAACAAATAACGCTTTTCATGACGAAACTTTCACCTCGAACAATAAAAATTGAGGTATAAATTCAAGGCACACTATTTTTTATTATTTAACAAAATAAAATAAAAAAACATAAATTCCCTCAGATTTTCTTAAAAATTGAGGTGAAAAACAAATCAATACAAACTTCGATTCCCAGGTATCGCAATTTATAATTCTATTTGTTTTTAAGTGTAAACAAAATGTCCTAACCCTTTGATTTTTTATTTAAACGAGGAAAAAATAATAATATTTTACTATAAAAGCACTCGTTAAACATATCTTACCAAAATCCTTATTAATATGAAGTCACCCATAGCATCATTCTTTGGGATGGATTGCAAGATAAAAAAAATCTTCAATGTTCTTTTATCTTGAACAAAACATTTTTTTTCTGCCCTTGTAAATTATCTCACATAATGTTGTTGATGTTGTCGTTGTTGTATTTTTTGGAATAACCCTCAGTTAAAGAAGGTACTCAGTTGATAGATTGCAAATAAAGAAAATCATTCTTGCTTCAAGTTAATCAAAGAATGGAGCTTAACCAACATTAAAGGGAGCTCAATCTTTGAAGAGTACTCAGTTGGACGATTGCAAGTGCAAAAAATCATTTTTGTTTCAAAAACTTTTGTTTTAATGGGTATGAAACAAAATTTGAATATCACCGAAGATTTGTTCTAACAATGTTTCTCAATGTTTTGTGTAAACAATGTATTTTTAAGTGGAGATCTCTGGGATGGATTGCAAGTGCAGAAAATTACAATGTATTTTTAATATTCTGTGTAAATAATGTATTTAAAAAAACAGCTTATTAACTCAGTTTTCTTCTTGATCGATAGGATAGTTAAGCGATTTTTTACTATATTCAATGCTCTTAAACAAATCTTTGTCGTCCATTTAATATTTATCAACAATCAAGAATCTGCCATTAGTGATCCACATGAAACCTTAAGGACATCTATTATAAAAGCATGATGAACATTGAAAATCTAATCTATATGGAATATGAAGCGCTTGAAACATAAAGACGTCTGGAAAATTTCTCTAAGATGGATTGTAAGAGCAGAAAATTACTTGGGTTTAAAGTTTTTTTTCTTAAATATTTATTTGAGTACAAAATCATATATTTCAATATTGATTTCATTTATCTAACTCTTATTTTGTTTTGCTTCAGAATCAAATGCATGCAGGATCCGAAGAGAGGAAACTTGCACCCAATATTTGATATTCCCCTTGATTCAATAATTCGAAGATCTAAAATCTAGATCTTCAAGGAAATTGATGTTTACCTTGTTCTCTAGGAAATTTGATTTTTATTTTAAACAATGTAATATTCTAGCTAAACAATGTAATACAAGCAATACAAGCGACCTAACAAGAGGCGACCAAACTAAACGAAGGGCGCTCAAACTAATAAAAGGGTGACTCGAGAATGGAGAAAGACTAGGTGTATACCACTCTCCTTACCCTTAATGTCTCTCTCAATTATACCACTATACAGCCCTTCAAGCACGATGGTTTGTAAAGGCCGAAGTGTTTTAACCCGTGACTCATCTTTTGAATTTTTTGAGGAGCCTTGCCAGTCATTTATTCCTTCCTTTTGGTCTCTAAGTTTATGTTGATCTTTATGGGTGAGGATTTGGCCAGACACTCCCCTAGCACCACTTAATTGAGTACCTCATGCGAAAATTTTGTTGAGTTTCTTATATGAGACTTAGTTAGTCTCTTAAGAGAGATTTTAGTTTAGTCTCTCAGGCGGGATTTTTGTTGAGTCCCTTAGAAAAGACTTTAGTTATATCCCTCAAATGAGATTTTAGCTAAATGAGATTTTAGTTAAGTCCCTACGGCAAGATTTTAGTTGAATAGTACTTTAATTGAGTCCCTCAAAGGATATCTTTTAGCATTGCTGGGAGCCGATTCAATTCTTTGTATTCAGTATTCTCATCACTTGTAGGACAATTGGTACCCCCACTTTTTAGGGGATTTTTCTTTATGGGCTTTCACGCCTTTGGCAATTTATTTATGCCATTCTCAGCAATGGCGTCTTTATTGTGTCGAGCAAGCAGCTTATTGAGGAGCGATGATTCACTGAGTTAGAATATGAAAATATCCTTCACTGCTATACTTTTTGTAAGAAAGTTTGCCAGTACTTGGAAATTTGCATGTTTGTTAATAAGGGGAAAAGGTTGAGGATAAGTAAACATCAAAAACGTTATTGGACCTAAGAAAACATTTATGCAAAAATCTAAAGGTAGTGAAGATGTCAAGGATCTAAATTTGTGTAAACATGGAGAGTCTCTTATTTCACAACAATTTTCCTTATGCAGGTGCATCTTAATTAACGAATGACAACATAGAAACAATACTACTTTGCTGAAAGATGAAGACAACTTTAAACCATACAGTCTCTTATTTCACAAACATTTTTGCTTATGCCGGTGCATCTCAATTTATGGTTATTCACTATTTTTATATTAAAAAACAAGCTGTAGTTAATTAAGATCGTGGGGATCGCATTCAACATCGTATGGAAAATTGGTATAGATTGAAATCGCGAAAGAGTTTATGCGACTGCGACTGCAACTGCAACCGATATTTAAAATTGGTTGAATCTGGTCGCTATTTTAGATTCCAAATCTAACTCAATAAACTTACTAATCTAACAATGTGTAAAAAATATTTAGCAAACATCACTACAAATCCAAACATACTCAAAATATAATTTATTTCCTAACATGAAAAACATTAATCCAATAATCTAGCCTAGACTTTATTCTTATTAAAAAAACATCGCATCCATGCCAAAATCACAAAATATATTGTCATAGTAACATAATTTAAACTGCAGTATCCAATATAAAGTATTTTGAAGTATCGGCGTCGAGATTGCAACCTCAAACAATGCATATATAGCATAGCCAACGATGTATACATAAAATTATTACATTTAATTCTGAAGCATCAAAAGCTTATTGGAATAATCAATTTCCACTAAGCTTTCTCCGCTTTATCATTTTGAGGTTTTTTTCGATTCTTGAAGATCCAGCAGTATTTGCTAATTTCTGATTCATACTCATCAGGTTCTTCCACCAAGTACTTTTCCCAAAATGGTGTATTATATATATTAGTACCCGGGATTGTTCCAATAGGTTGTTCTTTCAGTACAGCAGAGTCGGGAACAACGGCAACAGTTGGTTCAGGTGCAATGGGATCGGGTACAGCGATGACACCTGCCTCTGGTATAACAGGATCATGAACAAAGATATTATCTGGCTCAAGTTCAACTGGATCCGGATCAGGAACAAGAGCTGAATTTGGCAGAGAGTTCCTTGTGTTTCCTGATGACTCGGGCGGAACTTTAAGATCTAGTTGCGCACGAGACGTTCCTGGACCATGTGCACGATTCATAGAATCATCAAAGTCCAAGTTTGAACCAGTTTCATAAGACGTCTCGGAAACTTCTTTTACAAGATTTTCCCAAAACGTAAATGATGACTCCAGCCGATCCAATTGTTCCATGTTTATACCGAGAACTGATGCGCTCTCAGCGTTTGCGCTAGCTAACTCTTCCGATGTTTCCCTCCGAAGTTCGATGCAAGCTAAGTTATTATAGGGACTTCCCAGAAAACTTTGCTTTCTGCAGATGGCAGAAGACTGGCCAACTTCTGCGGATTTCTGCAGCACTTGACCGAAGGAAGAGAGCAAACTTTGGTGATTAATTTCCAACTGTTGCATACGGTCCTTTGAGTGATCTAACCGCATCTCATTCCAATTCCATTCCTCTTGCTGCCTCTGACGTGTTCTAAGTAATTGTTCTTTTTCATTTCTAAGTTTTTCTATTTGAGCTTTAAAGTTTCTCCGCTCTGATTTTGTTAATGGAGGAGCAGCAACACCAACACCAGCATCAGCACCAGCACCAGAAGCCGAAGCCGCCGCACCTTGGCTATGAGCACTAGGCGTAGAATGGCTAAACACTGGTCCGCGCCTGTGGATATTTTTTAGGAGATCTGGTTGATCTCTTACAAAATCTTCGTTGTAGAATTCCCACTGCTCTTGACCAATCTTTCTGAAGCCCTGATCATACAGAAAACCATAACACAGTTAAATAAGTAAATTAAAAAACAAAACAACAAGAAAATAAGAAAATCTATTTAGGTCTTGCATGTTTTCAAAAGCTCGCCTAAAATTTTCACAAATGTTAAAGGAAATAATCAAGTTCAAATAAGTTGATTGAAGTTAACAAGCTCAAATAAATCAATCAAAGTTAACAAACCCACAAAGATAAACTTTTCTAAAGTCTCGTCAAACAAAAAACTATAACAAAGTTCATTCAACAATAAAAAAACATTAATAGCAATAATTACAAATATATATATATATATATATATATATATATATATATATATATATATATATATATATATATATATATATATATATATATATATATATATATATATATATATATATATATATATATAAACAAACATCATTAACAAAAGAACCAATCAAGCCAACAAAGCAATAAAAATTATGAAGCAAATTAAATTTGCTTACATAGATGTTGAGCTGTCTTATGAAACTCGAGAAGTTGTTATGCTTAAAATAATTGGGCAACAAATGTTTTGAAAATTCAGGTTGATTCCATACAACGAAACTTCTATTAGTAGAACTCCATGAAACAATAGCATCAGTTGTAGGATCACTGACCATCATATAAGTCTTAGACAAAAAAGGAGGTACAGAGTTTAAACTAATCTGATTTTGCTCCATCCTAACACAATCTCAAATTCAAAAAACACAACAAAAAAAAATGATTTCTCAAACCTCAAATCCAAAAAAACACACAAAAAAATGATTCCTCAAACATCCTTTAAATAGTAAAAAAAAATCCCTATAATTTATTTTCAAAAAAACCAATAAAATGTCTTCTTTTTTATTCATCTTTTTCATTTCAGTAACTGTCATCAATAAATTTTAGAGATACTCTTTTTTTCTTTTCAATTTTCAATTCATTCAAAATTTAAGCTTACAACTCAAAAGGTAAAATTTTTTGTTGATTTATATGTTTAAAAAACAAGGGTCAAATTGTAAACAGCATAACTGAACAAAGAAACAATTATCAAATTTTAAATGTTCATAATTTTTTCTTGTCCTTATCTACCAAAATTTCAAAATACTCTGACCACTTTTTAAACTTTATGTATAATTTTATTATTTTCAAATAAAAAATAAAATATTTTCTTTTAAAAATAACAAAATATAATATAATATTTTAAATTTATTAACTTAGTGAGCAAGTCATAACAAAGAGTTATTCAAATACAATGTTCAAACAAGGAAAACTTAAAAAGTATAAATTTTTATTTATAAAAATTAAAAACTATGCTTTAAAAATTATAAATTTAAATAATAAAAATATTTATATTAAATTATATTATCACGGTCAAAAAAGTAATCTAATATTATAAAAATAGTATTATTAAATTATAAAATTAAATGAGATTAATTAAAATAACTTTATTCATAGAAGAAAAAGTTATTTTCTTAGAATTTTGCTTTTATTTTGAAAAACATAAAATAAAATAATTATTAAAGATGTTAAATTAAATATTGTTCTCACAATTATTCAATGGAGTGTAATTTAAAATCCTCTTAGAAGTAAATTAAAGGTTTTTGATAAAAAGAAAAGAAAACATAAATAAACAAGCAATACATTTTTTTATAAGCTAAATAATGACTTCTTAATATGAGTATGAGTAGTGATGATAAAAAAATCCCTACGAACAGATATTCACGGATAAAATCTGTCACGGATATGAGTCGGATAGTTTAATGAATATTCACGGATAAAATAAATAGATATTTAAATACTCGTTTGTTAATAGATATGGATACGGGTTTAATGATATTCGTACTCGTGGATATCCATATCTGTTAATAAATTATAAAAATCATTTAAATATTATTAACTTATTATATTATACCTGATCTTTTCATCTTCTAAAAAAATTAGTCTTTTTATATTTCTTTCTTTTTTTTTTTAAATTTTCTTTGAAGAAAACATTTCACATTTCATTCAAATTCAATTAGTCATTTCATATTTAAACTCTTCATTACTTCATATCTTACTTCAACAATTTCATAGTCCAACCAACTAATGCCGTCGTTCCTCTATCAAACTAGTGTCTCCCTTCCTACTCCTCTATCACTCGCTCTTCCATCATAACTCACAATCGCAATTTCTTTTATTTGTTTGGTTAAAAATTAAATGTATGGATCTAATTATATTTTGGTGAACAAGAAAATTAATGCGATGAAATTTTATTGTTAAATTAAGAACGAATTGTATCGATGTTATATGATAATAACTTTCTGTGTCTTTAAAAGAAGTTAAAAATATTTTTTTCAAAAAAAAGTTTTCAAAAAAAAGAATATTATTCATGGGTATCTGTAAATATCTGCGGATTACCCGCTTAACGGATATCCGTATGGATATGGGGCGGATATGGATATCATATTTATCCAATGAGGCGGATACGGATATCATAGTACCAGTCCCCATGGATACCCATTTACATCTCTAAGTATGAGAGTTATTTTGCTCGACAACACAATTCATCAAAAATAGAGACTTAAATGTTGAAAGTGTAATTCTTTGTGTCAAAGTACCATTTCGATAAAGACTGATGTTGTCGAATTACTCTACACATAAATTGTATAGGTTTCGAAATGTCGAAGAAGTGTATCTTGATATGAATTTAACTTAAATTTATTTGTTTATTTTAGCTAAGTTAGTTAGGTTAGTTGGGGATTGCTTATTGTGCAAAAAATCTCAACCTATAAATAGGGAGATACCCTATGTTGCGGTGAAAATAGGATATCAAATTATTATTTAATTTGAGTCACAATCTTTGATTCACATCTTGTGCCTACGTATCCGAGGTAAGGGATGGAATCAGAGTAATCGTAGTTCCCCTCGAAAGGGAGGAAGAGAAACCTCTTGATTGTGGTCAAGGTTTCAATGGGGAATAAACGTTCTTAAGGAAGCGCTTACGTGGAGTGCGGCGACTCCTATTTCTACGTTGAAATTGAATTGAATTAAAAAGGGTAAAATAGGTATTCCACTGCGGAAAACCTAAAACGGAGTACGGCGACTCCTCATCCTAATGTTAGGGTAAAGGGTAATTCGGTCCACGGCGGGACGCCTAAAACTATGAGTATGGTGACTCAAAGTCTTAAGGTTTGAAGGGTGAAAGATGTAAGGGTTAAGGACTATTGACACGGAGGTCAAACGGCTAGACCTATTGTAACACCCCCTTCTATACCCCCAAATAAACAAATAAATCACATAATAAAATCTCATCAGAGTAAATTTCAAACATGGTATAAAAGAAGTATGCCACATCATGCACAAAATAACATACAACACCTGCTCTATAAAAGACATGTAACAGTGGGGTAGCTCAACAGAGAAACTTAGTCCTTACACCCACAGCTCAATATTTAGAATTAAAGCGGAAAATTTAAACATTAAATTACTTAAAACATGTAATCATATTAATACACATCATTTAGTTTGTTTCATCACATCATTCATGTTTACATCAACATTTACCATCAGATACATGTACAAAATGTATCCCAAAATAATACTATACAATTCTAACTACCCGATGCTACATATCAGAGCATAAGCGACCAAAAGAATGAAGTTATACTTCACAAAAGACTTCCATCAAAGCTAATCTGCAAAGCCTCATAGAGCATTATAAAACAGCAGAAGGGTGAGAAATATTATCATAATAATCAATGCATAATTATATATATATATATATATATATATATATATATATATATATATATATATATATATATATATATATATATATATATATATATATATATATATATATATATATATATATATATATATATATATATATATATATATATATATATATATATATATATATATATATATATATATATATATATACACATACACGCACAAGTATAAAATACATATATTCCACATTTCTCACCACAATTCATTCCAATCATCATATACATCACAACAAGTGTATAAACGAATATGCATATTTACCATAAGACTCAATGCAACTCATCAATTCTCACCGATCTCCATTTGAGATTATGGGTACATCACTAGTACCCCACCAGGAACAACATCTCGGTTATTCTACCCCAACGATCATTTCACTAGGAACGACACATAGTCATTCTACCCTAGTGATTACTCCACTAGGAACGATATCTCATCATTCTACCCCAGTGTACACGACCACATCACTATACCTCACTAGGAACAGCATCTCATTATTCTACCCTAGTGATTACTCCACTAGAAACAACATCTTGTCATTCTACCCCAGGGAGAGCGAGTCTATATCACTTATACTTTAATAGGAACAACATCTTGTCATTCTACCCTAGTGAGAACGACTCATGCATATATACGTATTCTCAACTTTATCATCCTATTTACCAAACAATGCACATATATTCACAATATATTCTCATGCATTCTTCACACACAATCGCATACAATCAATATGCATTCACAATGCCGTGCCAAACGGAAGAAAACCTCATCATAAATCATCATGCATTTTCACTCGAATAAAGTAATGCATTACATGTGCCAAAAGGCCACATTTCAAAATATTGCACAATATAGGATTTACGCCATACGGCTACCCACAACGTATCACACCATAGTACACGACTATTCATTCCGATAAGATCGAACACGATCGAACCAAATAATCAACATCGGATGGAATCACAAAGAAAATGAAATGCTGTCACGCTTGCTGGCTTGCTCGCCTAGCAAGTCCCTAGCGAATACTCGTTATCTGTTCGCCTAGCGAACGAGCTTGCGAAGGCAAACAAAAGCTACTCATTTCGTTCGCTTCTTACTCGCTGTAGCGAGGTCCTAGCGAATCCTTCGCTACCTCACTCGCTACCAGCGAACCACATCAAATACATTATGTCAAAGTCTGGGACCACTCGCTAACTTGCTCGCCTAGCGAGTTGCTAGCGAACACTCGCGACCTGTTCGCCTAGCGAAGGTGCTAGCGAACGTCTGTGAACTCAAAAACTCTCACTGTCATCAATCCTCAACTCTTCACAAAATCAACTGATTCTCACCAAACCAGTTTCTATAGTCTTAGTCTAACATCCCTCGACTAAACTACACTCTTTATTCTCGATTCCAACTGTTAAAACCTTGATTCTACCGATTAAACTCATTTATAGCCTAGAATGGAAAATGGAGAAAACATCCAAACAATTCAAACCCATACATAATCATATACATTGAAAATATAATGATATTTCACACCCTTACCTTGATTAAATCGGAAGCTAGGAGTTGTTCTTGATGATTCCAAGCTTTTCCTTCTTCTCCTTCTCTTTTCTCCTCTTCCCCTTTCTTTCTCTTCTTTTTCTCTTATGTTTCTATCATTTTCTTTTCTTTCCACTTTCCTCTTACATGTCTTTCTCTTTTATTTCCTTCCAATATTCTCTCCTCTCAAATATCTACCAATAATTCCAAATAATTAAAATTATCCAAATTAATTAATTAATTAACATGAATAATTAATTATTAAAAAATTGGGTTGTTACACCTATCCTTCGGAGGGGAAATTAACAGTAAATAATGGATAAACAGTGAAAAAATAATGGATATTGAAATATGGGATAATGTACAAGTGTGAATAGTAATGGGATAAGAAGTAACAATATCG